ATCCTAAAATGCGACTGCACTTCAAAGATTCCAGTAGTCATAGAAACAACTGTTGCATTCAATAAACTTGTCTGCCTGATGCTTTTGCCTTGGAAGTAGAATTTAAGACAGGATCTAATTTGTCATACATCTTAGCTAATATATAGGTTTAGGGAATAAGTCAAACGAAGATTCCTTTGAAAAGCCTTGACAATTCCGGCCTTTAAGTTTGACTTACTACTATTCCCATACCATAAACAGTATATAAGAAATTTAGAGAGATTAGTTGCCAAGAAACCTAGCACAATACTTGTATAATTTTAGAAACATACAGAATTAAAATCCCAGGAACTATGAACAGCATTCTAGACCTTCTGTGGTTTATTCCTTAAGTCACTTCAAACATTGCAATTAGGACCTGTGTGGTTATTTGCCTGTTCCTTTATGTTTACCACCCTGCATATGTACTGGTATACATCAGGTATGTGAAACAATTGGCTTTGTTGGATTCTTAACAGGACTTGTGATTATTTAATATCTTTCTAGAAATCTCATTTTGCATTTTGTGTAAAAATACCGCCATTTTGGAAAAGTCATCTTCTTGTTGAAAGTTCATCCCAGCCCTCCTTTACTTGGCAGAGAGTGGGTCTGTGATCCTGCTCCCTGTTATGTAATATATGGAGGAAGAGGGAAAGGGGCTCCAGCCCCCTTGGTGTCATGCCTTCAGTGCCACCGGTTCTATCCTCAAGCACCGGGACACAGGGGGGGAAAAAAGAGAACATCTCAAATCCTCTCCTCTGTACAAAAGCATTAGTGTCTTCAGACAAAAATAACCTTACAGTGCCCTGAAGACAGAATAGGAGGATGCTATGAGATATTTTTAGTAAAATATTCCTTTTGTCTTGTACAGGATGTATAGAATAGATGTATAGAATACCTTTTTTTAAGAGAGATTTTTGCTATATTGAATGTGCACTCACTGGAGAGAGAGAGAGAGAGAGAGAAATCATTTCCCCTCTAGAGTGTATGGCCACATCACAATCCCTTCTTCCCCATTTTCCTCATAGGATTTTGGGCATGCATGCATAATGCACCCAGTGTGAGGTTCAAGCTTCCAGGTCCAGGACTTAAACTGCAGTTGGCCAAGTGGGAGTCCAGCGATGGAATCATTATGCCATCTGCTGGTCCCTAGAATAGATCTTTTAATTGAATAAATATTTTTTAAAAGGTAGAGAGAGATGCTTTGTATTTGTAGCTGAAACAATGTTTAATTATAAAATTCCTGAAAATCTTGTAATTCATTCCCATACCTGTGAGAGGTTATTAACTATTATTTTCATTTAAAGTATGTTTTTTTGGTCTTCCCAACCAAGAAAGAGTGGGTTTTTACTAATGAATTTATCAGAGGTTTAATAGTTTATATAGTTTTTGAACTGTTATCTTAAATTTGGATACTTGCTAATTAGTTTTATTATGTGACTGGTAAACTGGTGATGTGTATTAATGTTAGAACAAACATATATTCATACTATCTGGGAATATATGGTTGTAATTCTGTGGGAGAAATAATTTGTCAGTGTTTACCATTTGCCAGCTAATACAAGAGCTTTAAATAAACACCTGAAGAAATAACAAATTGTAAAAGAGAGAGATTTCTAAGACGGTATAAATATTGCTAATACCAGTAAAAGTAGAAACTAATACATTAGTAGAGACAAAGAAGATTGCTATTTAAAAGTTTCAAAAGTTTGAATTCACGAGTAAGCTACAATAGTTCTCAACTTTTTGTATCTAATAACATTGATCCAAAATATATAAAGTAAATATGAATGGAACTACAAGGAAAAGTGACAATTTACCATAGTAGTGGAAAGTTTTGCCATTTTTTCTTTCAGAAACAGATCTAAGTAGGAAAAAAAAACCACAGGATTTTCTATATAGCTTTGAACAAAACAACAAGATTTATCTATCACATGAACATATAAGGGAAATCTAACAATGTAAGAATATGTATTCTTTTTGAGAATACATGAAATATATTATTAAATTTGATCAGCTATTTGACTGTAAACAATTTTCAGCAAATTTTAAGCTATTGGAGTGATACAGAAAAATTTCTCTCACTGTGATTCAATTAAGTTAGAAAAAATTAATATCCATACTTTGGAATTAAAAAAAAAATCTTTTTCTAGAGAGTTTACTTTTTTTTTTTTTTTGAGAGGTTTTTGCTATAGGGCGTGTGCACTCACCAGAAAGAGACAGAGAGATAGAAAGCGAGAAATCAACCCCCCCAGGGGGGATGGCCACACCTCAATCCCTTCTCCTCCATTCTCCTCTTGGGATCTTGGGCACACGCATACACACGCACCTGGTGTGAGTTTAAGCCACCGGGTCTGGGACTCAAACCACGGTCGGCTACATGGGAGTTCAGCGACATAGCTATTATGCTAACTGCTGGTCCTGAGATTTGACTTTCTAATTAAAAATCATTTTTTTAGTTTTTTTTTTTTTTTTCCATAGGCTTGCTGGAGAGAAACAGAGCAAGAGGGAAAGTGTGAAATCACTCCTCAGGGAGATGACCACGCCATAATCCCCTCTCACATTCTCTCAGGATCTGGGGTACATACACACACACATACCTGGCTTGTTTTTCAGACTGCCAGGTCTGGAACTCGAACCACAGAATCAGCCATGTGGTATTCATTGTCTCAGCCACTATGCCACTTGCTGGTCCACAGAGATTTGACTTTTAATTAGGATGTATTAGGTTGTCAGGAAAGTCATGACATATTATTCTATGTCTTTCCCGAGGACCAAGTAGTCATGGCATCACAACATGCTCCTAAACAACCAGAAAAATATGGAAAATAGCAAAAGTCATATGTTTAAAGATATGTGAGAACTATGAAAGCAATGAGAGCTATTTATGTAGAAATTCCAGAGAGAGATGAACTCTCCTATGAGGACTGTCTTATTTTCTTTTCTGGGAGGCATTACTGTTTCTAAAAAGGATTAGGCTTGGTTCATGCAGAGGATCTCTCCTGAGGGTAATACAAACAAAGCAAGCCTTTTGGTGGTTATGTGGGGCTGGTGTAGTAGATTAGAAAATTGAGAAGGTTTGCCAGTTTTTTCCATTTGTTTCAAGCTGGGTTCCCCGCAAAATACACTGAATCTGAGACTTGCATTCAGAGCTACTGGAGAGTTTTCTTAGAGTATAACACTTTTAAGGGAGCTAGAGAAGCAAGATAGGGCATAAGAAGTTGAGTAGTGATACGTACAGTTGGCAGTAGCTTCAGCCAAACTCATGGGTTCTCTGAAGACAGGATAGATAGCCATTTAGAGATGTCCACAATTAAGGCAAAAGAGTTGGGCCTTTGGACTTCTGAGTTAGTCATTGCTTGCAGGATGTTCCTGGGGATGATGGCATAAACTTGGCTGAAGCAAAGGCAGTTGCTACAGAGGAATGTGGTGTGAGCTTTCACCTAATAGCTGGGAGATGAGTGTTTCAGAACTGAAGAGGGATCTAGGAGGTGCAAACCCAGCATCCACTATACTAAATGACACTTTCTGAGTTCTGGGACTATGTATGGGAGACTGTGGAGTTAGAATGAAGAATTAAAAGGTAGAGGCGACATCTCCCCTAATCTTACAGTGTTTAGGAGATAAAGTCCTAGAGGAAGAGGTTCTCATTTCTCCATATTATCATCAACACATAATCCTTCTTATTACAGCCATTCTGGTGAGTGTGAAGTGATATCCCATTGTCATTTTGATTTTCATATGACTAATGATGGTAAGCATTTTTTTTTTTTATATGCTTGCTAGTAATTCACAGGTCTTTTTTTTTTTTCTTGTAAAGTTTTGATCCAGATGTTTTGCCCATTAATGAAATAGGTTGTCATCTTCTAATTGAGTTGTAAGAGTTTTTTATATATACTAGATCCCATGCTTATCTCTCCAATGCTTATCCAGTCAGATATATGATTTGCAGATATTTTCTCCCAGTCTGCTGCTGGTCTTCACCACCCCCTCCCCCCATGGTGTGTTTCACATTAGAAAAGTTTTAAATTTTGATGAAGTATAATTTATTCTTTTATCCCTTCTAATGAATTATGATTTAAGTTATATTCAAGAACCTTCCTTGGGACCAGCAGTTAGCGTAATGGCTATGTCGCTGGACTCCCACGTAGTCGACCGCGGTTCACATCCCGGACCCGGTGGCTTAAAACTCACGCTGGGAGTGTGTGCATGCATGCCCAAGATCTCGAGAGGAGAATGGAGGAGAAGGGATTGCGGCGTGACCATCCCCCCCCGGGGGGGGTTGATTTCTCACTTTCTGTCTCTATGTCTCTGTCTGTCTGGTGAGCGTATGCTCACTATAGCGAAAATCTCAAAAAATTTTTCTAGGAATTTTATAGTTTTAACACTTACATTTAGGTCTGTGATGCATTTTAAGTCAATTTTTGTGTGTTGTGTGAGGTATCCAAGTCAGTTTTATTTTTGCAAGTGAATGTCCAATTGTCCTAGCACCATTTGTTGCAAAGACTATTCATTCTCCCAGTGAATTATTTTGGTAGCTTTGATGAAAAAAATCTGTAAATATGATGGCTTAATTGTGGATGCTCAAGTCTATTCTATGTATATGATCATACAGTCTTGGTCATTGTATCTTTATAGTAAGCTTTTGAAGTTAAATAGTATACTTTGTCTTTTAAAAAGATGTTTGGCTATTCTAGGTATTTTGCATTTCCATATAAATTTTTATCTCAGCCTGTCAATTTCTACAAAAAACGTTTTTGGGGTTTTGATAAGACTAGTGCTGACTTCATAAATTAGAAAACAACTGCAATTTTGACAATATTGAGTTTTTAAATCTGTGCTTTTTATCACATGTTCTGAAGTGTTCAGTGTGCAGGAATTGTACTTCTTAAATTTCTTTTTTATTGTCAGATGGCATGTGCACTCACCAGGGAGAGAACCTTCAGTGTGGTATGGTCATGCTGCAATAGTTTTTCCACCATCTCTCTATCCCATCAGGATTTTGGGCATGCATGCGCATCTATAAAGCATGGTTTTCAAGTTTCTAGGACCAGAATTCATATCATGGTCAGTTATGTAGGACCCAGCTCTCTAAACTTAGCACTTAAATGCTAAGCTATGGGCCAGTCTTAAACTTATTTCTTTTTTTTTTTTTAACATAAATTAACCCATTTATTGTAGGCTAGTGATATTCCAAATGTCTGTGGAGCTTCTACTGGTCTTTCAATTCCTTCAGTCTTCTGATGGCAGACTTTACTGTGACAGCTGAAGTGGTGGTGCAGGTCCAGGCACCACCAGCTACCACTGTCATGCAGGAACCACAGTGGCAGATCCCCACAGCCCATCTCTTTATCTTAGTTTTGCCACAGAAGGAGCAGGTGTACTTGGCGTGCTGGCTGATTTCAATTTTCTTCACCATTTTCTGGAGGGAGGCACCATAGCGGGTTCCATATTTACCAACGATGCCAACCTTCTTGATGCGTTTAGCCATACCACAGCCAACTAGGTCCAAACCCAGAGAGGAAGCTTAAACTTATTTCTAAGGTTTTTGTTTTTGTTGTTCTCTTTTTGATGCTATTGTGAATAGGTTTATTTCAATTTTTGTTTGTAGATTGTTTGCTACTAGCATATAGAAATGAAATTGATTTTTATATATTGATCTTGTATCTGGCGATCTAAATAAATTTATTAGTTACAGTAGAGTGAGAACATATAAGGGAAATCTAACAGAGAAAAGGGAGAACTCCAGAGAAAAAGAATCAATAGCCTCTATCTCAATCTCTGTATCTCGCTATCTATTTAGAAATATAGATTGATTTATTACAAAGAATTGGCTTGGCTCACAGGATTATGGAAGCTGGTAAGTCCTAAGATCTGCAGGGTGAGTCAAGAGCTGGAGACCTGGGAGAGTTGATGGCAGTGTTTTAGTCTAAAGCCAGGAAAAAGCTAGTCTTTCAGTTTGAAGGTTGTCAGGTAGGAAGACTTCTTTTATTCAAGGAAGTCTTTTTTTCCCTCTGCTATTCAGGCCTTCAACTGATTAAATGAAGCCCACCCAAACTGCTTTACTCATTTGCTAATTTAAGTATTAATTTTATTCTAGGAACTAATTTCATCAGTCACAGAAAAAAACCAGAATAATGTTTCACCAAATATCTAGGAACACCATGGTCCAGGAAAATTGACACATAGAATTAACTATTACCACAGTTAAGGCTACAAAGTTTCCCTTTAAGTACTGCTTTAGGTTTATTTCATTAATTTAGATACTTTTAAAAATTCAGTTCTACCTACATACCTTGTGGTTTCTTTTTTGATCCATTGGCTGTTTAGAAATGTGTTGTTTAGTTTCCCAGTATTTTGGAATCTCCCCCCCCCCTTTTTTTGTTGTTGATTTCTTTTTTTCTTTGTTATTATTTTTTATTATTATTTTAAAATTTGAATAAAGAGACAGTGAGAGAAGGGGAAAGTGAGAAAGCAAGCTGCCAGGTCTGGGACTCGAACCACAGTCAGCCATGTGAGAATCCAGCACCTTAACCACCACACCACTTGCCGGCCCCCTGTTGTTGATTTGTAATGTAATCTAGAGTCAGGAAGACTTTAAGAGCCAATTGCATTTTTTTTCTTTCTTCTTTTTTTAAAAAATTTTTTGGAGAGGTTTTTGCTATAGGGCGCGTGCGCTGGCCAGAAAGACAGAGAGAGACAGAGAGACAGAAAGTGAGAAATCACTCCCCAGGGGGGATGGCCACGCCGCAATCCCTTCTCCTCCATTCTCCTTGTGGGATCTTGGGCATGCACGCACACGTGCCCAGCGTGAGTTTAAGTCACCAGGTCTGGGACTCAAACGGCGTCAACTACATGGGAGTCCAGCGACATAGCCATTACACTAACTGCCAGTTGCATTTGAACTCTAAGGGTGAATGATATCTCCAGGGAGAAAGCTGGAGTATATAAAAACTTAATTAGTAAAGGACACAGATGGAGAGAAAAAGACTTCCAGGTGGAGAGAACAAAAATGTTCTTGAAAGTGCTTGTGCTTAGTGCTGGCAAGATGTTCAGTATGGGTGGAACAAAAGCTGTGTAATTTGTGTCTTCTTTCTTTTTGGCTTGGTCAGTATAGCTAAAGTTAATTCTGTTGATCTTTTCAAAGAATCTGTTTTGTTTTATTTTGTCCTACTATTTTTTTTTATTGCACTGATTATAAAGAAAGTGTAGTGATGTATAGAGGAAGTTGTGGAACACAATGTCAAAAGATAGTGTAAAAGGTTCCCTGGTGTTCAGATTTCAGCCTTATTCTTCAAATCCTCTTCTGAATAGTTTCTTATTCTCTGTAATCTCAAGGGTCATAGAGAAGGGATATTTTCTTAAAATATTCTCAGTTTAGCACCGGCAACAAAGAAGCAGATATTGGAAGAAGAATAAGACCTGGGCAAGAGGTGACTGATGGTTCTGCCAATAACTTTTTTAGGACCCCAATATTCACTTAGCCTGTCACTGAGAGGTGGTCATATGTGACCTACTCATTGCGGTAATGGGGGTCCTAAGGCTGAGGTAGCAGCAGGGTTAGGTTCCTAAGAGTGATCCCTTGTTTCTTCTACTGTACAGTTAAATTAGAGATTGGAAGCTGCCATCCCAGCAGATCTTAGCAGGATCTTTGGTTACAGGGGTTTGAAAGCTCTTTCCC